AGGTGTATGTGTGTCAAAGTCAACAATCAAGAGAAGACTTCACCAGAGTGAATACAGAGGGTTTACCACAAGATGTAAACCATTGGTGAGCATCACAAACAGGAAGGCCAGATTAGAGTTTGCCAAACGACATCTAAAAAAGCCTTCACAGTTCTGGAACAACATCCTTTGGACAGATGAGACCAAGATCAACTTGTACCAGAGTGATGGGAAGAGAAGAGTATGGAGAAGGAAAGGAACTGCTCATGATCCTAAGCATACCACCTCATCAGTGAAGCATGGTGGTGGTAGTGTCATGGCGTGGGCATGTATGGCTGCCAATGGAACTGCTGCTCTTGTATTTATTGATGATGTGACTGCTGACAAAAGCAGCAGGATGAATTCTGAAGTGTTTCGGGAATATTATCTGCTCATATTCAGCCAAATGCTTCAGAGCTCATTGGACGCTGTTTCACAGTGCAGATGGATAATGACCCAAAGCATACTGCAAAAAAACCATAGAGTTTTTTAAGGGAAAGAAGTGGAATGTTATGCAATGGCCAAGTCAATCATCTGACCTGAATCCGATTGAGCATGCATTTCACTTGCTGAAGACAAAACTGAAGGGAAAATGCCCCAAGAACAAGCAGGAACTGAAGACAGTTGCAGTAGAGGCCTGGCAGAGCATCACCAGGGATGAAACCCAGCGTCTGGTGATGTCTATGCGTTCCAGACTTCAGGCTGTAATTGACTGCAAAGGATTTGCAACCAAGTATTAAAAAGTGAAAGTTTGATTTATGATTATTATTCTGCCCCATTACTTTTGGTCCCTTAACAAGTAGGAGGCACATATGCAAACTGTTGTAATTCCTACACCGTTCACCTGATTTAGATGTAAATACTCTCAAATTAAAGCTGACAGTCTGCAGTTAAAGCACATCTTGTTTGTTTCATTTCAAATCCATTGTGGTGGTGTATAGAGCCAAAAATGTTAGAATTGTGTTGATGTCCCAATTTATTTATGGACCTGACTGTATATATATATATATATATATATATATATATATATATACACACATACATACACACACGTATATACAGTATATAAAGAATTACAGTAAAACTAAATTGTATTTTTGTGGCTCTCTAACAATATAGGAAGCAATATAAGAAACAGAAATATAATGCCATTAGGCACTAACCCAAAAAAGCCACTTTTTATTTTTCCTCAACATTATTTGTGATCAAATACTCAATTCTTGCATCATTTCTTGATTATTAACTCATAGAATGGCTCTACTGACCTCAGGGAGACAGTTCTTTAGACCATGACTTAAAAATATATATTTGGCTGATCTAGAGGAAATAAAAGTCCCAAGTCCTGATGAATTGTTCATCTATAATTACTTGGTTAGGTGTATTGAATCTAGTCACAGAAAGAAACCCGTAAGGGCTAGAAATAAGTCAGTTGACAATACTCCCACTGTGGAGCTCTAAAGCAGACTCTCAAGATGGCATTATTTTATCTCTTAGTTCCAGTGAATATTCATTTGTGTCACCAGCGACTTTCAGGCTGTGAGCACCTTCAGAGTTAGTGATTATGGTAAATTTAAACTAATCCTTCCTTGGCATTAGGTATGAAGCTTGTAAGATAAAATAAAGTGCCTTAATACCTTAAAATACTTGGTTGCAAATTTAAATAATGTGTTTAATATGTAAAAGCCTAAACATTCTTATGATATAAAGGGCAAGCTATGAAAAGCGTTTTTTTTTCCCATTCAGTCCTATTTTGACAATATTTAATACCTCAGTTTCTAAAGACAGACTCCATAGGTTGACTGAATATACCTTTGGCATGTTTCCTGTTCAGGTGCAACTGTTCAGGAACTCCACTGACTCTCTCTCCAACCTTCAGGTCTTCAGCAAGTCAGAATCAAGCCATGATCCTCCTGTACTGCATAATGCAATGCAGGGCCTCCTAATAGAATCTGGGGGAATTGTGGGATGCTAGGGAGCAAGCCTAAACCTTTATTGCAAGTTGGGACCTATATATGGTTTTGGGGGCTCCTGAGACCAGAGGCACCAATGTTAAAGTATGTGTTTGTGTGTGTGTGGGTTATTTAATTACTATGCGTGCCCCCACTGAAAAGATTGAACCTCCTTACTTTGCTGGTGTCCATTACAATAGATTAGAAAATAATGGAACATCCAAAATCTTAGAGTTGTCACCAAAACAAGGTAAGGGAAAACTTACAATGCTGACACTTGTTTCGGTGACAACTGTCCCCTCACTTTGAACATTTGTGAAAATTTCCAGTCCTTCAACATTTTTTTTTACTATGTTTGTAATGCTGATGTCTTTCATTTGGTTCTGGTCACACAACAGCAACCAAAATTTATGTTTATTTACTATACTTACTTTTCGCCTTCTCCATAGCTGCCCAAAGCTGATGTTACAGACACAATGCAGATCACCAAGGATGAACCTGAAATGATAGTAGGTTACATATTATGTGAAAATTATACTTTTTTCATACTGGAACACCTGCAGCTTTAGCCAGACAATAGGTGCAAAAAAGAAAATAAATTTAACTAATGTGGGGTATATTACATTGATGTGGTATTATGAGTCCCATGGCTTGTGATGGTGGAATTATGTTTTTTGGGTGTAAAGTAAGTCAGCTGTGACATGATAAACATGGCTTCTTTATCCTATAGTTGAAAAACATATCTGGTTTATTTAATAAGACAAATAGCAAATAGTAACCAGAAACCATTATCCACCGAGAAAACAGAATTGGAATACTAGAGTAGACATCCACCATTTAAATATTTAAATCATCATCCCATCCTAATAGTGCATTTAATATTGCTCAGTCCAGTGACAAATACTTTGCATTGAGTTGTTTTGCAGTGTCTGGAGCTGTCAACCCCAGACATTCAGGAGATATACTGGATTGGTTAAAGATATTTGACTGGAGTGTGTACAAACCACCCACTAACATAGGCCCATATTTATGCAACCAAGAGCACAATATCTCCAAGTCACCTTAATAGGAGAACATATATATAGTTTATACCCGGGGGTTTACTATTGGGGACTTTTCCCTATATACACTGACTACATGAGAGAAAGCAGGTAGGTTGCCTGCTGATTATCAGTTTGAAACTGATGTATACATACTGAGTGTACGGAAGTTCGATTTGGGATACCATTAAACTACTCTCATCCCTCAACTACATTTATATGAGTCAGTGGGTGTTTTGTGCTACAATGTACCTTTAGGTTGGATCCATTTGATCTGAAGTGATATGGTGGTAGCCCGTCTTGGAATTGGTCTCTGAGATGATCTTCCTCCCTTTTTTACCCCTGAATCCACCCTAGAGACTTTTAACCATCCATCTTTTATATATGTCCTGATCAGCAAATGGCAACACATACCCAGCCAGTCCTGAGGAAGTGAGAAAAGTTTACGAAACGCATTGGCATCTGAGCATGGAGACGCTGTGGGCATGAGAACTAAGGCTTATATTGAACCATGATAGTCATACTTAAGTGACCACTAAAATATTTGATTTATATTGATATGCCTAGTTACAGGCTGCATCTCAGGGTTGAGTGATAGAAAACAACAGACATTATGTGTTGTAACTATTTTCTTCTAATAATTTTAACTCTGTGGAAATAAAAATAGGAAATGTTAATGGTTTGCCTCACGCTGTGCCGATAAAGTCCATTTTTCTTTTGGTAACATTGGTTCCAAAAATTAGTTATACACATTTTAGGATGTGGCACGTTCAGGGTCTCGTATATTTCTTTTATTTTTACCTGTTGATTCTGTCAGCAGCACACTTCTTGTCTTAGAGGTGACAACACTCACTCACTATACTGCATGTATTGAGGAGCAGCATTGTACCCCAAAGGATAGGCAGTGTATTAATACAACAAAACAACTACCTCTCTATTTATCTCTATGAGATAGGGTGGAGGTCTTCTGTAGTCCACAGGATGTGAACAGTGCAGACAAGGCAGCCTGCACAGTCTTTTAGAAGCGCATTTCATTTCTGGTAAGATCAACAGGTTATTATTATTATTATTAGAGATGAGCGAATTATTCAAAAATTCGATTCGGCTGATTCGGCGAATTCGCGGAATAAATTCGATTCGAGTCGAATATATTCGCTGCGAATTTAACATATAAAAAGGGTGTTTCTAGGCTTCAGAGAGCCTTTATATTAGTGCAGAACACTGTACCTTTAATTTAAATGCCCTTGGAGTCTGCTGGGGAAGAGAAAAAATACTGTCAATCAGTATGACATGCAGATGAGTGCCGTCGATCTTAGAATCACCGCACACTTCACTCATTTGGGCAGTCAAGGGGCCAAAACCAGAGTGTGGAGCCACAGTGTGGCGGTGGAGGCAGCAGCAATGGGAGGCCATACAGCACCCTATGACAAAATGAAACCCACCAGCAGTGTGAGGAGACCTGAAAGTGGCACATGGCAGAGTGTGGCGATGGAGACAGCAGCAATGGGAGGCCGTACAGGGACCCATGACACACTCTGGACCTGGCAGCAGCATGAGGAGGCGGTACAGGGGCCCATGACAGATTACGGGCCTGGCAGCAGCATGAGGAGTCGGTACGGGGGCCCATGGCAGATTACGGGCCTGGCAGCAGCAATGGGAGGCCATACAGCACCCTATGACAAAATGGAACCCACCAGCAGTGTGAGGAGACCTGAAAGTGGCACATGGCAGAGTGTGGCGATGGAGACAGCAGCAATGGGAGGCCGTACAGGGACCCATGACACACTCTGGACCTGGCAGCAGCATGAGGAGGCGGTACAGGGGCCCATGACAGATTACGGGCCTGGCAGCAGCATGAGGAGTCGGTACGGGGCCCATGGCAGATTACGGGCCTGGTAGCAGCAATGGGAGGCCGTACAGGGACCCATGACACACTCTGGACCTGGCAGCAGCATGAGGAGGCGGTACAGGGGCCCATGACAGATTACGGGCCTGGCAGCAGCATGAGGAGTCGGTACGGGGGCCCATGGCAGATTACGGGCCTGGCAGCAGCAATGGGAGGCCCGTAATCTGCCAGCACCCTATGACAAAATGGAACCCACCAGTAGTGTGAGGAGACCTGAAAGTGGCACATGGCAGAGTGTGGCGATGGAGACAGCAGCAATGGGAGGCCGTACAGGGACCCATGACACACTCTGGACCTGGCAGCAGCATGAGGAGGCGGTACAGGGGCCCATGACAGATTACGGGCCTGGCAGCAGCATGAGGAGTCGGTACGGGGGCCCATGGCAGATTACGGGCCTGGCAGCAGCAATGGGAGGCCGTACAGGGACCCATGACACACTCTGGACCTGGCAGCAGCATGAGGAGGTGGTACAGGGGCCCATGACAGATTACGGGCCTGGCAGCAGCATGAGGAGTCGGTACGGGGGCCCATGGCAGATTACGGGCCTGGCAGCAGCAGCAATAATAATTTATTATTATTATTAATATTATACAAGATTTATATAGTGCCATTAGTTTGTGCAGCACTTTACAACATAAGGGCAGACAGTATAATTACAATACAAAAACCAAAAAGAATATCACCATGCTACCCCAAATAGCAAAGTGTATACTGTATATCCAAATTATATAAACGGTGCCTCTAAAAAAAAATTTAAATATATATATATATATAATACTAATTATTGTTGCCTCTGCTCACTGCACTGTGTTCCCACACCAAAATACTAAATATATCAAAAAAGAGTGCAGCGCGACAAATCTAAACACAAAGATGCAAAATAACAATCAACTCTTCCCAATAATGCTATGTAGGGTTGTGCTTGATGTTTGAGTCGACCATAAGTGGCATTGTGGGGCATGGCGGCCGTTCACGCCCCACAATGCACTGCGCCCTGACAGGTGCAATGGTTTGGCCAATCACAGAGCATGATGACATCACAAGGGATGGGGTGAACTCCCCCCAAGCTGTGGACTGACCCCGCCCCCTTGTAATGTCATCACAGTGTTTAAGAACTGTCAGGCCGGTGCAGCAGTCAGAGAGCAGGAGCCAGCGTTGAAAGCAGAGCAATTTTTATTTTTATTTTTTTGGGGTTGGCAGTCATCGTGATTGACATTGGATCTACTGTACTTCCGTGGACATTTTAAAAAATTTTGTTTTTAATAAAGGACTTTTCAAAAACTGTCTTCTGTCATTTTTTACACTACACTTTTTGTGAATAAGTAGCAGTACCATGTACCCCATACTCATTCACATGGGGGGTGGGATCTGGGGCCCCCTTGTTAAAGTGGGATTCCAGATTCTGATAAGCCCCTGCCCGCAGACCGCCCCTGCCCAAAAGCTCCCCCCATGTTGGGGGCATATGGTCTGGTATGATTCAGAAAGGAGAGGGCGCTCGCTCATGCCCCCCCCCCCCCCATTCCTGACCTGCCAGGTTGCATGCTCGGATAAGGGTCTGATTTTGGGGGACCCCATGCCATTTTTTTAAATTTTGGTGTGGGGGTTCCCCTCAAAATCTATACCAGACCCAAAGAGCTTGATATGGATGGAGGGGGACCCCACGCATTTTTTTAGAAACATTTTTTTGTCAGCGTATGACTTAACTTAGGGCCCTATGAGGAAGTCATGCTATGGAGTGATGAAATGGTTCAGGGGTGGTACCTAGATGGTGTCAGCACACCCAAAGGGTCCAGAATCACCATTTTTTCATATTTCACCCTGGATGTCCAGGCTTAAAATTACAGCAGCTATTTGAATGATTGAATCTAGTGCATTTGATCGGAGAGTAACATTTTAATCCTTTAATAAAACTGAATAGTGACACACTACACTAGGAGATTCCGTGTTCCTTTTCCCATTGTATCCCATAGAGTGGAGTAGTTCTGACACAAGGAGATGAATAGAAGACGCAGTGAAGATCTGCGATAATTTCTATTACCCAATATCTGGGAAGGCGCTTTCTGACTTTCACTGCAAGGTGGGTCATGGTGTGGAGGTTAAAGGCAGTGGATACAGATGGTGGTGCACTGCGGTGGAGTAATTTTCACGTGTATGTGGAACAAGACACATGTTTACTATTGGAAGGTTAAATCACAAAACCATTTAAAAGATATGGATGTGAACTTTTTCTAACACAGAAATTAATCACTATTATTCACAATTACAATACAGTAATACAATAAAATATAAATACAATAAAATAAATACAGGAGCAATCAGAGAGTCCTGCTCATTAGAGCCTATAATCTAAAAGGGAGGGCCAAGAGATGCATTAGGTAATAACTGTGGGGAATGAGCTGATGTAGACAATAAAAGTACAGTTGTTAGGTGGGGGCAGGGTAGGCCACTCTGAAGAGAAGGGTTTTAAGGGACCATCAAAAGGTGGACAGAGTAGGAGAGAGTCAGACAAGTTGGGGTAGGGAGTTACAGAGGATGGGAAAGGCTCAGGAGAAGTCCTGGAGGTGAGCATGGGAGGAGATGACAAAGAAGCTAGAGAGCAGGTTGGTATTTTGAGACTCGGTTAGTAATGTAGCTGGGGGCCAAGTTGTGGATGTGGTTGTTGTTGTTAGTATCTTGCATTTAATTTGTTGAATGAGTGGAATCCAGTAGAGGGGTCAGCAGAGAAGGGTAGCAGACACTGAATGGTTGGTAAGGTGGATAAGTCTGGCAGCAGCATTTATGATGGACTGAAGGGGGAATAGTCTATGTAAAGATAAGCCAGTTAGGAGGGAGTTGCATTAGTCAAGGTTAGAGATGACCAGGGAGTGGACTAGGAGCTTTGTGGTGTCATTGGTTAGGAAGTGGCGTATTTTAGAGATGTTGCAGAGGTATTTATTTACAATGATCGAAGAGATAGACCAAAACACTTCCGACTGTAAGTTTAACAGTGCAAAAGAAGCACAAAACAAAATGTAATTGTAAGAGAGCATTTATTCTTCGAATAAAAGGTAATGCCTGCCTGGTGGGTGTCACTATTCATCCAGGTGGTGGTGAATTTGTAATAAACCATGGCAAGGGCTCCATAACAGCAAACAGAGTTTGATCCAAGCTATTTTGTAAACATATATCTACCTTAGGCTGATTTTAGTGTGAAACCAAAAGACATGATTTCTCTAAATTGTTAAAAAGGGAAATGTGGTTGGCTTTTCTGAATTACTGCTCTTTGCACATTATTGTTGTTTTTTTTTTGTGCCTAACTAAATACGCCTGCTATGGATTACTGCACTGCAGTAGCACTGTTCCCAAAGACAATTCTGTAAAGTGCTGGATACTTCAGTATGGATGTCAATGCTGACCTTTACACAAGCACAAAACTATATTATTAACATTACAAAGCACAAATGCTGTTTAAGCAGGGGTTCAATTAAACCATAGGACTGATGAAGGTTAGGGTGGTAAAAGTTGAAGGAGGTTCGATAAAGAACTTGGTCTTGTTGCAGGCTGAGACATATATTTCTGCAAATGCAACTGCATCTCTCTTTCCTCTCAGTAAAAGCCTATCTTGTTAAAAGTAAAATAGAATGCCATGCATAAATGTGTTATTTTTTGGAAAAAAAATATTTTTTATGGTCAGATAGCTACTGCATTTAAAGTGTATATGTCAAACAGAGAAACAGGTCTGCTGCCATTGCTGACAATGCATTACCATTGTTTTAATACTTAGGAGGACTAGATAAGGACTTCCAACATTTCCATGAATTTCCCAATTTGCATAGTTGTTCTGGGTTAGTGACTCACTAAGTACTGAAGCTAATGAGGCAATATAGCAAACAGGCAGCCAGCATATTTTAAGAAAGAGGTAAGCAACTCCTCCATATTTCGCTCATGACAGATTTATGTTATAAAGGCATGGCGCCCCCCAGGCTCTGTCAATCTACTGCCATACTTCATGCATTGCTTTTTCTTGACTTTTCTTCCAGATCTAATTTTACCTGCAGTATTAGGAATGCTGCCTAAAATGGTGTTTGATTTAAGCCTTTTATATTGAAAAAAAAATCTGTTTTTTGAACTCGTGCCTGCCTGTGTCTACCTCAATCTGGTTCTGCTTCATGATACCTCCACAGTCTCAGCCTTGGCATCATCACAGCTACCCCTCCCTCCCCATCCTACCTCCAGCCTGCTTGTGCCAGAAACAAGACTGAATAGTTGACACTGATTGAGAGGACAGCAGAAAGAAGCATGCACCAATAGAATGAGCGCCAGACCAAAGGATAAAATAAAACATATTTAATAGTTTAAACTAAAATATAGCCAAAACATTTTGTTGATCAGAAAAAAACAGCTTTTTCTAATCTCCAAAATGCGTTGGATGTTTTTTAGAATAAACTATTAAATTAATTTGGACTTTTTTATCCTTTTTCCTTTTCCATTAGTGTATGCTTTTTTTCTAGTAACCTGCTGGGGTACCCAAAGGAGGTACTGTATTGTGAGCCGCCTAACCTGAGCCAGTAAACCTTCTGAATGTTTTTATTTTCTCATTACTTTGTATGATATCACTTCAAAGTCCCAGCACCTCTTGGGTGCTTTTTTCATCATTGGAGACTGAAAGGACAGCAGTGCAAGGCTAGGGTGTCCAATCACCCCCAAGCATTGGCTCTGCTTGGTGGACAAAACCTCTTTAGCTGCAAAGAAAGAAAGAAAGTAAAATGTTAAGTCTTTCTTTGCTCTTATGTAAAACTGATGTGCTCTGTAAGTAGTGCAGTTGTAACGTGCTGCATTGTTTAATCAGCTAATTACTATATGCTCTGATTAAAGAAGTCATGGTTAAATAGAATTTGACTCAGATGGGCTCTTTTTTGTTCAGTGTTGAATAACTTATCTCCAGGAAATATTCTTTTACCCATCATCCAAACTAATTAGCTTTTCATGGGTTACCACACATGGGAATAACTTTTAACCGTAGTCCCCATGGCTTTCTATCCTAATGGTTCATATGCAATTTGGTTCCCTCTGGGGTAATATGCGAACACCTGCATATATTCTACATAAAATGCCACTACTATGAGGTCAAACAGTAAAGTGGACTAGTGCATAAAAATAAAATGCTAATTTACAATGAAATCAGCTTGGACACGACACTGATGCTGTAAAGTAAAAACAAACACTACAAAGTTCAGTTACCCAGCTGTTTCCTTGCCATCTGTTTGTGACAATGCAGATTGACAGGGATAGTATAACCCCATGGCTATATGAATCCAGTGAATGTAGTTTCTATTTTACACAGTTTATACACTAAACTGTAGGTTTCCTCTCAAAAGAATCAGAGCATCAGTTATGACTAAAACCACACTGGTAAAATCACACTACTTTTTCCACTGCAGCACGCAATGTATTCTACCAAACCTGCTGCTCCCGTTCCCCATGTTTCACTTTTTTAAAGACCAAAAGGCGGTAACCCTATGGAGTATTCAGCATCAAGATTGTTGTTAGTG